AACACACTGGAATATATGCAATTTGAAGAATGCTTTCCACATCCCGAAAGGAGATTGTTTCCAGTGGAGACTTACCTAGCAGAAACTTAATCATGTGTGAGGATATACTCAGAGACAGAAAGGTTTTATTAAAATCACCTCGGGAAGGGTACACTGTTAGAAAAATAACCAAATAAAAATCAACTCTGCTAATGACATCATTCTAAGGAAGTAAGCAAAGGGTGTGGTCTGAAAAGGCAAGAGGGTAAACCAAAAGAAACTTGGGTACCCAGAACGGATGCTAATGCAGGAGAGGAGTTCCCAGGATGAAAGCTTGGTAGCAAGCCTAGAAAATAACCATTCCAGAATGTATCAGAAGGGAACAAACTCCAAGAGAGCATTCCCCAAGAAAAATAAATGGAACTTGTGAGTTACTTAATATGTTTGACCATACTATGTAAAATCTTATGGGCTTTTCAGAAAATTGATGGTACAGAGAAAGATAAATTTTTAAAAGAAAGTAGTTTGGGAGGAACAAAATAGAAATATAATGGATTGCACTTTATGAGGCCAGTCTGGTCTACAGATTGAGTTCAAGGACAGCCAGGGATACAGAGAGAAACCCTGTCTTGAAACAACTTTTTTTAAAAAAGTACTTACTTACATGGTATAATGCAAATTCTGAATATTGTCATTAAAAAATTTGGACTTGTGGAAGTGTGTTGTGCATGTTGTGAGAAACAGAGAGAAAGGGAGACAGAGAAAGAGAGAGAGAGAGATGACGAGAGAGAGAAACCAGTGAGCTAGCATTTAGCCATGGTTTCAATCTCTAGCATTCAAGAATAAATGCAAATCTTACATAAATGAAATTTATAATAAATCTTTAAAAATAGCATTAGTTACTGTGTTATCCCATGGTACTTATACCATATACTGTAAGAAGGAACTAAAAATGTTTTAAAGCTATTTAAAACATCATAAATTTATGAGCTCATACTCCTGGTAGTCAGAAATCCAACATTGTGTGAATGAAGTCTCTGTCTAGAGACCTATAAACACACAAATCATGGCATCTGCCAGGCTTTGCCCATTTATGTGGGCTCTTGGGGAGAAGCTGCTTCCCGGCTTGCTCAAGTTATTGGTAGCAATCCGCTCCATCCCACCTCTCTACCTGGACCCTTATATATTCAAGTTGGCCACAGTACTTTCAACCTTTTTTACTTTGACTCACTCTTGTACTTCTGTTTCCAGGAAAGTGAATTCTCACTTTTAAGGGCTCAAGATTGGACCCCCATATTTTTTTCTAGTAATGGGGATAGAACCAGAACTCATGTATACAAGATAAGCACTTCTGTCGGTCAGCTAAACTCATTAATGTAACCCAGGAAATCCTCTCTCTTCTAAAGCCTGTGGCCCTAATGGCATCCACAAATGTCTTTCATGTAAAGTTACACATTCACCGTTTCCAGGAACTGGGGTATGGACATCTTCTCTGAAAGGGGAAATCGGGAGTAAGAAGGTGGGGCAGAGGAATGGCTCTTTCTCCATTGTGAGCCTGTGTTTGGCCTTGTGTTAGTCAGCTTTCTGTTACTAAAACAAGTGCCAAAGATAACTTATAAAGAGAAAAAGCTTATTGTGGCTCATAGAAATTTCCGTTCATGAACAGCTCACACTACTGCATAGCTCAGAAAAGGAGGAAGGGGCTGGAGTCCTATTTATTGTTCCCTCTGAGATACCCTAAAGTAGCCCTCAATAATCCAATGACTTCCAAGTAGGCCCCAGCTCTTAAATGGTTTCCATCACATCATGATGACACCATGATGGGGATCAATCCACATGTACCTTTGAGGAACACAAACAATACAGACCACAACAAGCTCTATTAACTTCTTGAGTTGAAAAGTTTTGTGCATGCACACTTTTTTGTGCAAATAAAACGTTTTTAAGCTGGCTGGAGGTGTAGCCTAGTGGTAGAACCACTTGCCTACCATGCATGAAGCCATGGCTTCAATTCCAAGCACTGTCCAAAGGGATCAAAACTTAAGCTCAACTACCAAACTTTCTATTACTGAATTCAAATGGACTCACTTTAGGTGATCTGTCAAATCAAGTCATTATGCAAGCATTGTGTATTATACGTAGACCATTTTTGTGATTCAAAGTAATGCTAAATCTCCTAAAATATGCTAAATATTCTAAAATCTTCTGAATGCTTTAAGAAATATTTGTTAGTCACCACCTTGACTGGGCTCCAGTGAAATATCTTGACTTGGGTGAACAACAGAACTTCTCCAAGGTATCAATTCCTTTGTTCTTTGCATTTAATTAAAGGGCCTCTTCCTCTGGTTACTTTTGGAATTTGCCCCTTACAGCAAGCTAGAGTAAATGATGATAAACATGTTTTCTTGATTTATTAAGGAAAAAATTATATTAGTCCCTATTGTGTGTCAGAGTTAATATAGTAAATGTAGTCCAACTTCTTAATTTTAAAGATGAAAACATTGGCCCCTCAGACAGAAAGCAGATTTAGACAGAGAGAGTTACCTTCCCAGCATCCTTTGGAACTCAAAAACATTAATTCAGCTTATTTTATCTTATAAAAAGTAGCCCCCCCTTGATTAAACTACTGTGGACTACAGAGCCAAATATTATTCACTTCCAAATTCCTCTTATTTAGCACACCCTACCTGGCACACTGATAAATGATTGCACAATGAATCTCAAGATGTTGCAAATGATCACTTTATAATGGAATGATTTCAATTCTCAAGGTCTTACAGTTAATAAGCAATTTGGCAATGCAATATCTCTTCTTTTAGTGGCTGTTTTTTAGGGACAAATAAATGCACCCTTGTCTGTGTCAGACAAGCATAAACGTCGGGCGGACTTGTTTTCCACTTGCGCCTCATTACTCCACAGCTGTCTGGTTTTACAGAGCTCAATCAGCCAGTGTCTCAAATTTCTGCCTTTGGAAAATGCATGTGATGCAATAAATCTCATGAAACTATAGGGAATCAGGGAACTAGGACATGCATTAGTAACTTGAAACAAAGTAGAAACTGTTGATTTTCCCTTTTCATTTGCTAGTCTACCTACCAAATGTTGAAAGTTAGCAGTAAGAGTTTACCTGTTGCTGAAGATGCAACCACTGGGAAAGATGGTTAGAGGCAAGAGAAGCATATCAACATCAATGAAATGTTTCCCTTAATGAAACTAAAAGCATTCCAATATTTTAGTTGTCATACACACATCAACTATATATACACACATACATACATACATACAGTACATACATACGTGTGTGTGTGTGTGTGTAAGAATTATTTTACATAGCCACAAGTGTAGAAGAAAAACATTTCTGAAATAAAGTTCTTTAAAATTTTTTATTATTTGTGTGTGTGTATGTATGTATGTGTGTGTGTGTGATATGTATTGGACATGCACACTACAACATGTGCATGGCAGTCAGAGAACAGTTTTATGGTGCCAGTTTTCCACCTTTGACTGGGTTCTGAGGACAGAACTCGGGTCTTCAGGTCCATAAACACCTTTATTTTGCATGCTGAGCTGTTTCTCCAGGCCAAATAAAAGTGTTTGCTTCCTTATCTTCTTCTCAAAGTAATATTACTTTATTAGTGATTCTGCTATGGTGGTGCATATCAGTAATCCCAGCACTCGGGTGGCTGAGGCAGGATTGTGAGCTCTAAACAAGGTTGGTCTATGTAGCAAGTTCAAGCCACCCTGGGTTATATAACAGGACTCCATCTCATAAAAAAACAACCCAAAACATAAAAATAAAAGCAGCAAGCAAAGCAAAAAGAAACCCAAAGCCTAGTAACACAATTCATGTAAGCATGACGCTTCACTTTTCAAGGAGCAGTTCATGGTAATGATGGAATGACAGACAACCTGAAGAGCAAACATACATAGATCATTCTGGCTTCTCTCTTCCCAAGATGAGGTGAGTATGTTTGTCACTGCAGGAACTTGTTTTCCACAGATCTCATATAGATTTACAATCTCAACTTCAAATCACCAGCCCTCATGTTAAAAAGCTAGGAAGAGTGCTGTCACACACCTCTAACCCCAGCAACCTGGTGGCAGAGACAGGAGAATATCTGCAGTTCATTGACCAGCTAGTCTTGCCCAGTTGGTGACTTCCAGATTCAATGAGAGTCTTTGTCTCAACAACTAAGGAGGAGAGTAGTAGAGGAAGACCCCCAATGTTGACCTCTAGCCTCCATATACATGTGCACACAAATGCACCCCCCAAACATGCAGACATATATACATGAGCATGTATACACACATGTACAACACACAAATAGAAGTTCAAAAAGAAACTATGAAGCTATAGGTAGCTAGACAGATATAGTTTTCTTAGTCTCAAATATAAGCTCAAATATAATACTAGTAGCACAATGAATGCGAGGTCTCTCATGACAAGGGCAATGATAGCTGTATATAATATCATGCGCACATCATGTCTATGATGAAAGTAAATGCACTACATCCTATTTCTTGCTTGATATTGCAAAAGCTCAGATCATTAATTTTAAATAGTGTTTTATTTGTGTATGAGTGCATGTATGTAGCAGTATGTGTTGTGCAGTGTATGTATGGAGGTAAGAGCATAACTCAAGGGAGTTGGTTCTCTCCTTCTACCAAGTGGGTCTTGGAGATCAAACTCAGGTCATCAGGCTTGGCAGCAAGCATCTTTACCTGGTGGGACAATTTGCTGGATACCATTTATTTTAGTAATCACAGTTTATTAAATACTTCAGTTTCTTTAGATGATGCCTGGAAAAGCTGCCCTAACATGAAACTAATTTTATATGTACATCCTCTTCAGAAAACTGACGCAACCAAACAACAGGGAAACTTGTAATAGATGCTTCTTAAGATAAAGCAGCTGCCTTGGAATTGTTTTTACAATGTTTATTGTTTTAACTGCCATTTTTCTCTACCATATGTTCCCTACAACACTTTCCCAAAAATAAGGTCAAAAGAAAGCATGTAGGTGACATAAAAAAGACAATATTTATTTTACTTTTTTATAAGAAATTAAACAGTAAGACTCCTAGTTGAAGACATTACCAAAAACATTAACATTATTTCATGTATTCCTTCAGTGCCCAGATTCAGAAAAAGGTTATCTGAATGAAAGAAAAGGACTGGTCGTCCTTACACTGGCTTTACTTACATATGTAGGGGAAAACAATCCATATACCTTAGTCAATATACAAACATACAAGTTTCCGAGAAGCAACGTACTGATATCTTTAAGAGTTCCTAAGTCCCGGAGATTCCTTTTGTTCATTAAAGCAAAGGTATTCCTACAATTTGCTCCCCTTTCCCCTCTGCTACTATATTGCTGAAAGAGGAGACTGGAAGCAAAATATGATGTCCTTGTTCCAATGCTGCACAACTATCAGCATGGGTGGTCTCCAGGGCATTTCAAACATCCTCTTCATCACCATCAAAATAGACCAGCAGTAAAAATGGCCCAGTGCAAGGGCATTTAGGTGCTTCCCTTCCCAGAACTATGGATACCTGGTTGAGGAGTGACTTCACTCTTCTACAAGAAGCCAAATCTTCTTTCTAGGGAATAGTAGGAGAAACTCGAACACCTACAATGCCTGTAGCCCAGCCGCAATCTGACACCCAAAATAAAAGTACCTGGAGGACATACCCATGCGTCAATCACACCATGCACCCCCATTTCCTGAAATGCCAGGGCACAGTGCTCCTCTACTACCACTACTACCATGGAAGCAAGGTTCCCCTTTGTCCTAACCAATGAAGAGCAGGGGTCTCATATCTTCCCTGCTTAAGAACAAGAGATGCAAGTAGCATCATTTTATTGATATGAATTGGTAAATGCCTGAAGAATTTGTTATATATAGAGTTCTTCAGGACTTGCTAGTGATCTGTAGGTATGAGAAAGAGAAGTGGGATACTTCTCACTGTTTTAAATTTGCAGGAAGTAGTCAGAATAGGGGGAATCCACATATGCATATATTGTGGAAATGGGGCAGAGTAGAAGTCTAGCATATGCAAAATTTGAATACATATTTGAGTCCCACTTGGCTCCCTCTCAATAAAACACAGAATGTACAGAACAACTTACAGCATAGAAAACAGGCATCCTAAAGGCTATCTTGCAAACAAAGAAAAACAGACGCAAATATTCCTTTTTTTTTCTCCTCAAGCAAATAGGGCTAAATTCTAAGTGAAGAAAAGGCATAATCTCTATTTAGAAAACACACAAAGAAACACCAATTACTCAAAAACCTCCAATAATTGCAGACTCACAGGAAAGTAGCAAAATCTGTATGAATTAGTCATTGTTGTTCAGAATATTCATCTTTTACCTGAGATGCAAATTATTCCCTGCTCCACTAGACAGTCTAAGCAAATTTGTATTCTCAATTCCACTGAAAGTCAAAAGGCTATACTGAAGAGGATGGGGGAGTAGGCATAGCAGGAAATAAGCATAGGATATGGGAAGTTCAAAAGTCTGGGAAATGGCTATATGGAGATAAAGAAAGTGCTAAGAAATAAGGAGTCCCAAATTTATGTAAACCCAGGAGTCCTATCCCTCACACTCTGAGGGCTTAGCACAAGCTAGATACATAGTCAATACTTGATTTGAGTAGCAGAAATTAAGGGGGGGGCATACATCTTTAGAGACTTCGTAATTCCAACTCTAATACCAGGTCATTCTGCCTCCATTATCCTAAAAAAATTCTACCATGACAAAAAGAGCCTTGGTGGAGAAGTAGTCTCTGCTTTTTTGTATGTTTCATCACCGTGGCCAAGATATTTTCTGGGGATTTCAAAGCAGAGGAAATGCTATTGAAGTGGATAAGGATAGCATGTTTTAATAGCCACAAACATTATTCAGTGGCTTCCCAAACAATAGGCAGCAGATTGTATCGGTTTTGTTTGCTAGATGTTCTCTGGGAATCAAGTTCAGCATTAGTGTACACACCCCAAGTGAGTTTCCTCATAAGTAAAATTTCTTGATGTTATTCTACACAAAAACCACAGAACCAGCAGAGGTTCCTTAGGAAGTCATCACAACTCCTGATAAGATGAATCTACGGTCATTGTCCCCTTTACTTTGTCCTCTAGTTTGGAGACTTGGCAAAGAATGCCTACTTATAAGATTCAACAAGAATGAGAAGGACTCTGCTTTCTTCTTGAAGAGCTCCATTAGTTTGGATTTTTCAGTGCAAGACTGACATCTTAGGAGCTGTCTGTTTTTCAAGGGTCCAGTAGTTTCAGTTTCTATTTAACAAGTCCTTGGATAACAAATGGAGAATGCAATGACTCTTCACAGAGTCACATTGGAGGAAAAAAGAAATCAATTATCCCCATCACTGAGGCGCTTTCTTCAGATTTTCTATCAGCACTACGGAATCTGTTTCTTCTTTGGATTGCTTCTCATATATGTCATACTTCTTCCAGTGCTGCAAGGAAGGACAAAAACACACACAGTGATTTTTCTCAACAATATTCTTCCCCTGGGCGCTTTGAGTCAGTGCTTATTTTTAAGTTCCCACGAACAAGAACCGTAAGCGCAATGTTTGCCTGCTTTAGCTTTTTTGATCTGAGTACTCATCTAGTTGGACAATTAATGAAGCCAAACAATCAGAACATTAAAGACAGGAAATGCACAGGACTGTTACATAATGGTTAGTGGTGGTCTGAAGGGATAAACAAATTTAGATATTTTCAAAACTAGAGTCTTTTGGAGATGAACGAAAGGGTGGCATACTTTTCGAACTGTTTCACTTGGGATTTTATTTTCTTACCACTCAAATGTGACCATTGCTCCAGAAACATCCCAAAAGCCAATTAACATCTAGTGAACAAGAATGGATGCCCCAAAAGTCTTAGTCTTAAAGCATGTGGAAGGTTCTGTACTAACAACTTTAACATAATTTGCCAGATTGGCCTTATTTGCTAGACATTATGGACTCATTATACATAGCTTCTCCTGAATGGGATTCAAACATGTCTTTCATGGTAAAAAGCCAAGATTCTGGTCCTATGGCCTTCTTCATTTGTCAGTCTGGGGAAAGGTGAAATCTAAACTCAATTCTGTCATCTGTAAAATAAAGCTGCTAGAGAAAACTAAAGGTGAGCACACTATGAAGCATAGGCCAATCCAGATAACTTCCTGTTTCAGGAAGCAAGCTTTATTGAAATATAACCATTTGCTTCTGTATTGCCTATGACTGTTTTCATGCTGCAAGATTTAAATTGTTGCAGAGAAGGAATGACTTATAAAACAAGAACAACCCTTTGCAGAAATAGAACTGCACCACTCCCTGCACAGGAATATGTCTGGGCTCCCTTTCTCTTTTGGTGTTCCACAGTTGATTAAGCTTATGGGAAGAAATGGAAGTCAGAGAAACAGAAACAAGAACAGTCTGTTAAGCTGTGGCAGGCTGTAGTATGGAGGAAATTAGGACCACCTAGCATTAGTGTATGGAGCTAAAACCTGGAAGATGCTGCTTAAAATAGTCATTTCTTGCTAAATAAAATATTTAACTCTAATGTATCTAACAGAGTTGCTAAAGTTAAAAATAATGACAAGTGCTGGTGAGGATGCATAGTAATTGGATCTTTCACATATTTTTGGTGGGAATGTAAAATAGTAGTCACTATATTAAACAGCCTTGTAGTTTTGTGTAAACCTAAACATACACTTAACACATGACCCAGAAGTTCTGCTCCTTTGTATTTATCCAGAAGAAATTAAAGCATGACCATACAGAGACTTCTATGTATCTCAGGATTCCATTTATATAACACTACGGACAAGGAAAAATTCTGGGGACAGAAAACAGATCAGTGGTTACAAGGGTCTTGAGCAGTGGTTCTCAAAATTCCTAATGCTGCAACCCTTTAATACAGTTCTTCATGTTGATGGTCTAGAAAGTTGTTCTCACCTGTCCTAATGCTGCAACCTTTAATACAGTTCCTCATGTTGTGGTGACTCTTAACCATAAACTTATTTCATTGCTACATTATAACTAATTCTGCTACTGTTGTGAATCGTAATGTAAATATCTAATGTGTAGGTTATCTGATATGTGAATCCTGTGAAAGGGTTCTTCTACTCCCAACATGGTCAAGACCCACAGTTTGAGAACCACTGGTCTAGAGTGAAGGATGTGTTGATTCCAAAGGGGCACATCAGGAAATGACAGAAACATTTTATATTTCTACTGGAGTGGTGACTACAAAATTGCATCTATTTCCTAAAATTCTTCTATGTAAACACTTGAGAAGAATACACTTTGTCATTTGTAAGTTGTACTTCAAAATTAATATATTTTTAAAAATGTGAAATGTGCAGACTTCTAATAAAAAACAATCTGAAAACCAGATAACCTTAAAATAATGGTTTACTCAATAAACCCTTTCTCAAAGATTCCATCAATAAATTCTTGATGAATTAAAGCCCTAAATGTAAACCACAAAGTCAATTAAATCCATAGAGGAACAACTATATAAGTTTCCCATGAGATACACTTTCTGCACATAAAAGATGATTTTTGAAAGGTGGTTTTACTGAAGAAAAAAGGAAAATTATTTGTATATAATTAATCACCATAAAAACAATACAAGGCAACAACAGCTGACAAGTCAAAGGTGTGGTGATCTATTATTTATGATTTAACATAAGTATCAGAAAACAAAGCCAGCCACACTAGTTAGCTGTAGAAGTTAGGCAGTGGTGGCGTACACCTTTAATTCCAGGACTCAGGAGACAGGCAGATGGATATCTCTGAGTTCACAGTCATCCTGGCCTACACACAAGAGTGAAGAGAAACAGAACTCATGCCTTTGATCCCACCACTTGGGATCACATGCCTTTAATCCCAGCACTGGGGGGGGGGTGAAGACAGCAGGATATGACTGGTGGAGAAAGGAATTTAAGGAGGAGGAGACAGATTCAGAGCTTTTGCCTCTGAGGATTCCTGGAGATGGGATTGCCATTTCAGCTGGGTAGAGGTAAGAGGTAAGAATATAGCGTGACTGTATTCTGTAGAATCAATGATACTACTGTGTGGTGGAGAAGGAGCTTCAAACTGAAGCACTGTGCTATCTTCACTGACAGGAGAGTACAAACCACTCACTTCTTCTACTCTTTTAATACTCTCTTCCAAAACATTTAGTTCCTTCGGGATCTGTTCCAATTGCTAGAAACTATGCTGGAACCAGTATAGAAATTACTAGCATATGACAATGTATCCAATGGTCTTACTGAGTTGTATTGAGTAAACTTGGACAGACATTTCTGAAATTCATCTGAGATAGGAGACATCCTTGTAGAAAAATAACACTGCTCTAAGTCTTCAAAATGAGAAGCGAGTAACTTTCATCTTGATGCTAATGTGCTGATAAACCAAGGTAGTTTCTTTGTCTGAGAAGTTCAACTGAAACCTGAAGGTTGTCGGTAGGGCATGAGACTCTTAATTTCAGGGTCATGGGTTTGATCCCCATGTTTGGTGCCATTTGTAACATAAATAATAAAACCCAGAGAAGCAAAGCAACCAAGCCAATAGATCTTACCTCTTGCCATCTGAAATTGCAATCTTCTCTCCACAAATCCTCAGAAGCAAAAGCTCTGAATCTGTCTCCTCCTCCTTATATTCCTTTCTCCACCCAGCCATATCCTCCTATCTCCACCTCTGTAGTGCTGGGATTAAAGGCATGCCATCCCAAGTTCTGGGATCAAAGGCAGGAGCTCTGTTTCTCTTCACTCTTGTGTAGGCCAGTGTGGCCTTGAACTCAGAGAGATCCATCTGCCTGTCTCCTAAGTCCTGGAATTAAAGGTGTGTGCTACCACTGCCCAGCTTCTACAGCTAACTAGTGTGTCTGGCTTTGCTTTCTGATACTTAATGCAATCTTTATTAAATCCTAAATAATATATTACCATGGAAAGGAATAATACTTAATATGTGAGGCTAGAGAAATTGTTTAGTTGGTAGAGTGCTTGCCTTGCATGAATCAGGCCCTGGGTCCCATTCTCAACAATGCAAAAAAACGTATATATCAAGAACCTTATAAATTACCAAGTAAAAGAGAAATCCTGTAGGGGATAAAAGGGCAAGAAACAAGAACTTTACAGAATAAGTGGCTTATGCCAATACACTTATCAAGACTCCCATTGATTTTTAAAATATTATTTAACAACACATTGGAAAAAGTGTGTCCAAACAAGTATTTAAGTCCTGCTTCTGGTAAATCTAGATATTTGTATACCTTAGTTTTAATATATACTTCTTGTGAATATAATTATTTGAGTTCTCATGTTTTGCTTAAGTAATATGGATGCTTCTTTTAGCAACATATGTTATAAATTCTCAGAAATTGGCAAAACAGAGCTATTTCATTTTCTTTAACCTCTGAAAACAATTTCACTCATGAATGCACCATGACTTATTCAAGCCATACAATCTCCCCGGATAAAAATTTGTCATTTAAAATCTGCAAATTTACAAACTAAAAACCACTAGGGGAGCAGTTCAGTAGTGTAGCACTTATCTGGCATATGCAAGGTTCCATCCCAGGGGAGGGGGAGAGGGAGAGAGAGAGAGAAAGAGAGAGAGACCCAAAATCTATTTTTAGGTTATTAAAAAAAACAAATGGCAGCTGACAAGATTTGGCTCTTAGTTTGTAGTTTACAGAGATACGGTGGCAGGAAGGTGGTTTGTGGCAGCATGGTATGGTATCTGTCTCTCTCCAAATGCAATCATTAAAAGAAAAGTAGGAAAAGCAAGCGGTGTGAATAGGAAAGAATAGCTAAACAAACAAATAAATAAAATTCAACAGATTTTACATCTAAATTAGATGAAAAATGATTGCTCGTAAACACAAATAAGAGTTGATGGGGACAAACAAGTGATAGTTATGAGATAAAAATGATAAACACCTGCGGAAGAGTACACAGAAAGAATCAACACGATATCCAAGAGATTTGAGAAGTCAGTAGGAACATCAGCGAGCTCATTTCTGGACATATTCTGAGAGCGGAAAGAGTGTGCTAACTCACAAAATGTTCATGGACTAGACACAAGTTCTCATAGCTGATTCTCCCCGGTACAGGATGAAGCTGCACCCCGAGAAGAGACTATTGGAAATAGACTCCAAGTGGTTGGCAGGGTAGGGAATCTCAGCACTTGGGAAGTAGAGGTAGAAGGAGAACTGTAAGCTCAAGGGAAGCCAGTGCTACAGAGTAAGCTGAAGGCCAGTCAGGGGTGCATAGGGAGACCCTGTCTCAATACTGACTCTTACCACTAAAGAGAAACAAAAGGAAGGAGACAGGAAGGGGCAAGACTTTTAAAAGTCATTTATTGGCCCTCAAGATAGTAAATAGTTAATATATTCCAGAATTCTGGATTTTTAGTTTAGAGGTGTTCAACCTGTACCTGAGAAAAATCAACCCAGAATG